TAAAAAAAAAAAAAAAAAAAAAAAAAATTATAAAAAAATAATATGTAATATTGATGAGCCGGCCCTTAACAGGCGTGTTATTCGAAACGCTTTGTGAACACAAGTACTGTATCTGTGTAAGTCCGACGAAAAAAAAAAAATTAAAACCGTAAATTCTCTTTCGGAACGAGTACGCGCGTCCGTCCCATTCGGTTCGCCAATATATTATGACCCCGCGTACATTAAGCGTATTTTACTTATTCTTTAATCTTCTCGTTGTTCCTAAAAAACAAAAAAAATCACCCACACTAAATTATGACTGAACGAACTATCACTATAGTATATACCGCTTCTTGAAATATCCTGATTCCTCCGCAGGGTGTAGTGCAACCGTCAATGCAATCGGGGGAGGTGGGCTAGCAGAGACTTAATCCCCTGTAAACGTGTTACAGTACAGCCCTCCTTCGAGTAGCTCCCGAAAATTGCTAACAAATTATGCGATATATCGGGATTTTTTTTTGTTGATTTCTAGGCTATCATTCGATAAAGGGACAAAAAACTATACTGTGCTAAAACTAAAAGTATTATCAGTTCATTTTTTCAGTTTTCTTCTTGCGTTCGGAACAATAATAATTACGAGACCATCACAAAAGTAGTCCAGAACAAAAAATGTTATCGTACACTGCAGCTGTCGTCTTTAAACTCGAAATTTCGTCGGGGCGTTGAAATCACCGTTAATCGCGCTGTAAAACCTAACGCGCGCGCTTAATACAATAGATAAATATATTTACAATAGAACAGGACGATCAGCTGCGATTTTCGGCAAAAGCACGTCTATCTTCGTATGTGTTTCAACTCGTGTTTATTATCCGAAATCCCGACAGTGTAGAAAACATAATATTATTCTGTTTTGCGGTCGTACGCAACCGACGACGATGATGACGCCGGGGAAGGTGGAGGCGTGTGAAAATTACACATATGACGCACTTTTTTTCCCCGGCGAATTTCTGGTCTATAATTTTCAACGGCAGAACGAGATACCCAAGTATACTTTTTATTCTCTTCTTCTTCTATTTTTTCGGCATCCGCACAATTAGATTGTGTATACGTGCACATCATGATATGTGTGATGTGTACATATTATACATATATATATTATATATTATATCGTCCCGCGAGTACCGGTTTTTTTTTTCTTCTCTCGTCCGGCCGGCCGGCCGATCTCGTGAGGTACGTATATAATATATTTTCGTATTCGTGACAAATTATCTTCTCCGCTTTTGGACAGTCCGATACACATATATATATATGTATATACATACGCAACATATGCATCATATATACGCGAGCACGAACAGTATCGTATATATAGCGGGTAATATTATTATTTTAAAGCGTTTCGTTGATCGCAATAAAAACATGTATTTTTTTAAAGAAACTTCATATAAAAATACGAGTGCGTCGGCGGAAATAGAGCGCGCGCGTGAGGAGATCGACAATATATCCTGTATCGAAACATTCATCATCCAGAGATGGGCAAGTTACATCGAAACGAGTATTTTGATACATTGATTTCCAGTATCTAGATACAATATACAAGATACTAGATACGTTTAATACAAGTACAGATTGCAATACAATACATTCGATATTCACATTTTTTATATTTACTAGCTGACCTGGCAATGCTTTGCTATTTGTAGAAAATAGTTTAAATAATAATAATAGTATTTTTCTCGTCCGCGACAACCAAAATATCATCTAATAAATATAAAAATAAATAAATAAATTTACATAAACAATTAGCTATTCGTATCGAAAATGCCTAAAGACCCCTACAATAATTAAACTATATAATGTCATATAATTCACGGGACTGAGAATGGAACGTTGGAAGACTATCCTATCTTTTAAGTTGGACCAAATCACACACATTGAGCATTCTCTTTATTGAGTAGTTTCAGAATGCATTGCACCCAAAGTCGTCGTATGCGTGATTTTAATCTATATATATAAGATTTGAAAATTTGTTCGCAGTCACCAACTATTTTGACCATTTTTGCACAATCGTCTTCAATTTAAAATGTATATTTTATTTTTTAATTAAAGTCAAAAGGCAATTACCGAGCTCCCCTTCCTTCAGGCACCTATATGGACAAGATACTTCAAAATTATCATTTAGATACTCGATTCTTTTCAGAAATACAAAATACTATTGTATGTAAGTATTTAAGACACTTATTATGTGATGATACTGTCCAATCCTGCACGAGTTGTCCGTTTTGGGCACAGGCGTTTATACTGTACATTCCGTTCGGTCCACTGGAGTAGGTGGCTGAAATGATACTGCACTACAGCACGGACATTGAGGTGGTCGTCGATACTAGATATAGTAGTTTTGTCGATAGATTTTTTGAAAAATCAATAAAAAAAAAAAATATATAGAAAAAGTAATAATAAAGGAGACCGCAGTTATCCATACTATTTTAATGCTCCGTCCAAAAAGGAGAAGAATTGACAGGAATGAAAATAACCGCACCGATTCGACCGAAGAAACCGCACGGATTTTTGCAATCCAATCGTAATTTAAAAAATTCTATATCGAGACGGTCTTATTATTTTCGTAAATACGTAAAAACGTGTACATACGGGCCATTAAAAAAACCGATCGGGAAACCATTGACGCGACCAAATAGAAGTGTGTAATCCCGTTTAGAGTTTTTTTAAAATTCCACACCATAACAGTAGATATATAGTTGCATGAAATATGCCGCGATACGCATTTTTCTTGATAGATATATAATTCCGCACGTTTTTTCGTCGGTACATTTAGTTGTTTAATTGTATATATTTAGTCTGATTTTTTCCCTCTCTAAAATTCGCATTTTTTCCCCGTTTCGACCGAGCGACCACTGGCCACTGGCTTTTGCCCCTTGCGGTGTGCGACTTCTCACACTCGTTTTCTCTCGTCGGTTTTAGAACTGTGTTTTGCAAAAGTCTGCAGTCGTGCGCCATCCGTGTTGATATTCACGTAGGTATTGAAAAATAGTTACGCCAGAATAATATTCGTTATTGTTTATTCGTGTAATCCGATTTATTGCGACGCACACGGATTATAATTTTTCGTTTTAATTCTTGGACGTTAGCGAAAAAAAAACCGAATAATAAATTATCGTAAACTGTCCTTTTTACGAGGTGATAAAACACCAAAATAAAAAAAAAATAACGACAAATAAATCTCTACGATAATAGCTCGAATATTTGTTAATCGTACGTACGACGATATGATAATTCTTGTTTCGTCTTTTTTTTAAGCTCCACTACGTCTTCGGTAATCGGGATAATTTGGCGTGCGTTTGTCGTCGACGCAATATATTTTTAAAACGAATGTATATAAAATCAAATAAAACGTATTATTTATACGTCAATATAGAGTTTTTTAACACGGGGTCCACCCAACACGAAACTTAATCGCACTGTAAAAATGTAGGTAATATAAAACAGAAAACAACTACGTTTATAGAATATATAGCTAATTTAACAAATTTCATCGACGATCGTAGTCGGAATAAAACGTAAAATAACGAAATCATTCGGCCAGATGGACTCAGATTGAAATGGTGTTTTTTTAGGAATATCGGGGGTAAAACATACAAGATTTGACATCTTATTTTCTGAATTGCTATCTTTATTGTGCGCGCACGGGCAATAATATTTATAATTTCTTATAAGAGAAACACAAATATTTAGTATTCAGATTAGAACAGTACAAACAGACGTATTTGTGTTTATTTTTTTTTATCGCGTCTTTGGCTAATACAATAATTATAATTTTTCTATTTCAAAATCGCCCGATGTACATTTATCCAAGTTTACTAAGTATAGTATGTAAATTAAAAACTTAAAAACGCGTGACTTTGAAAGTGTTGAACTTTGACTACTGTTTTATAAGAAAACACTTGTAAGGAAAGATAACCATACCATACCATACCATTGCATATAGTCAAATAATATTATAATAACAATTGGTTTAAATTTGATGAAAAATAGAAAAAATAATAATTTTAATATCTTAATATACTATATTTTTAATATTTCATATTTTTTTTTTTTTGCAACTTGTTAAAAATAATCGTAGTGACCTGAAAGTTTCAATGAACACTGGCTTATTTTCTAGACGTCAAATTTTCAGTTTTTCAAATTATTACGAAAAGGGTGATGTATTACAAAAAATTGTTCTCTTTAAAGTAATATCTAAATTAATAATTCCATACAAAAAAGTTCTTATAAAGGTTTCGATTGGAGCGAATCTTCGCTTTAAAAACTTGAAGTGCAGTCCAAAAATTTAAAAATAATGTCCCCAGTTAGGTGTTTGGAACATGGATCGTACGACTATGGCCACACACGACCCAGTGGCTCGTACACTGCGGTGGCGAAGCGAGTATGGGTTGAAATAATTTCAAACACAATTTACGAAACCCATAATACTTACGCACTGAACAATTTAATACAAGTTGTTTTTATTGTTTTTTATACAAATAGTAATATTACCAACAAATTATGTTAACTTAATAATTGCGGTTTATTCAAAATGCAGTAGAACAGAATTAGATCTGTACAAATAAGTGAATATATTTTATTAGTGGGTGATGAATATCAAACAATTTTACTTGACTGCGAATAAAATATCACTCATCAGCCACTTAAAGAGAAGCAGCTTTTTCTAAAATCTTGTCAGAAAAGTTACAGTTATTTAAAAAAAAAATAATAACAATTAACATAATACAATAACGGTTTTGTATATGACAATTTTTCTTGTTACACGTACCACGGCCATCGAAATTATCCTCCTCTTTAAATTGCGTTAATAGGGTTTAAATATAAATGTAAAACTTAAACGTCATAATTTACGTTCGTAAGTAATACGTAATGATTGTGCTATATTATGTTGCCCGTTAATAGTTAGACACTGAGACTGCGGTGTAGTATAAATGCGCGTGCAGCCTCCTCTCGAATCGAAACCGTTGCGATATTATTATTATAACGAAATTTGTTGTTTTATAATACCGTTCTGTATATTTAAAATATACTGCATAGGTATACGCACGAGTTTTGGTGGAAAAAAAATGAATACCGTACGCGCGGTATCAAAACCGGAATTATAAGTAGGTGGTGTGCATATAGTACGTATAGGTACGCGTAATATGTTTTAGGTATTATAAAAAAAAAAAAACGAACGAGTCGCGGTCGTCGCATCGATCGGACTCCCCGAAAATCGATTAAAATCCGTCGACCACGTTACATACCGGCTATAACATATAATAGTGAATGCGTGGGGTGTTACCGACGAGTACGATGAGATAATTTTTTTAATGGCGTGTTCAATAGCGTCGTCCGGCCTAATTGTGTACAAACGTATAATCCGCGACACATAAAACATCGAAGACAGATTTTTATCGGCGTGCGCGCGCGAGTTTTCAAGTAAGATAATAGTCCGTACCCGTGTATTTACGCCGTCCCACTGGAAGAGCAACGCGAATAAAATCACATCACTTCGAATATTTAAATCGTTGCGTTTGGGTTTGGAAATAATATAGTTTAAACACCTAAATTTACGAAAAATAAATAATATTTTCGAGGTCATCACCACTGCGTTAGTAATTTTTGTTTTTGTTTTTTTTTTTTTTAGTATAGTTGTAGCTCTTTCCGTTTGCCAATATTTTTGGAAGAAAATGAACGCGGTGCCCTCGAATATAATATTATTCTCTAGTTTAAATTTTTTTACCTGTGTGCAAACTCTGATTTCAATCGAAACCCCATAATTTGAATTCCAAATTACGTAATTTTGTTCATGTCATCGGACTCGACAATGGAAATAGTCACAAACTAAATAATATTTTCGAGGTCATCACCACTGCGTTAGTAATTTTTGTTTTTGTTTTTTTTTTTTTTGCTAGGGACGTCACGAGATGGTTTAGCTTCCAAAAAAGTGTGTATATATATATATATAGTATTGTACTAATAATATTGCTACTGTTGCTACTATTGCTCAAAGCGTTTATACAGTTTTTTAGTTTTTATAATTTTTAGAAATATTATAATAATTGCTCTCACGAATCATCGTGAGAAGAAATTAAAATGATACTGACATTAAAAATGCAAGTAGTTTGTAAATTTGATTACATTCGATTCTGAGTGGAGCGAGAAATGGTTGTTTTAAAATGATGTTTTTTATTTTTTTTCTGTATACAACTCTTTTACCAGCAATTTTGCTCTGATTTACAATTACAGCACTTTTTCTGAAAGGAAATTTGACTGGGGTGATACTTTATTAAGGAAGTAATTTTTTGATTTTCCCGCGAGTATTCCCAATAAATGAGGAAAAATCGGGGAAAAAATGTAGGAAAACGGGAAAATAGAAACAATATTAAAAAAAAAAAAATAAAATAAAATATATAATACATATGTAATTATTTTACCATAATGTGACAAACTTATATTGTTGAATATGAACCGAACTTCACTCAGAATCGTTTTTCGTAAGCAATGGTTAATCGTTACGTGTACGTATATATATATATGTAAATTAAATTTCTTCTCTACCTTCCTAAATTCTCCTCTAGGACAGTGGCCCACTCACGTGATAAGTATGCCCTTATTTCTTATGCTAATTTTTTTTCCCGCTTTTTTTTTTACTAGGTTCTGTACCTTTGTTTTGTGTATGTACGCATACATATCTGATTGAATATGCTTATAGAATAGCGTCAACTAAAATGAAATTTGTTGGTTGTCCCGAGTGCATTATTGCATTTGATTTTCGCGTGGAAACATTCACAATTTCACTAGTACTTGTATTATAATCACCCATTTTTTCACCAATTTCTTGTTTCCGGACTCAATTAAACGTTCAAGATTATACTATGGGGAACATTCAATGTTAGCCGTTGTAACGACGGTTAATAAAGTTCACGTAGAACGTTTAAGGATAGTTTACATTTTGTTATTTATCTTTTGGTGTCTGAAATTTTTCAGGGTCAGTGACTTCAATTTTTTTTGTCTTGTCGAACCAACAAAATTCGGTATATACATGAATAAATTATCAGCCGCTATACAGAAAAGTACCTAATAATAATTGTTATCGCCGTACTACGCGTTTCGTTGTTTCGAATTCGGCCTGCGTGATGTAAGTAGGTTAGGTAAGAATTCGTTTTATTTTTCTCTCTTTCTTCAGTAAAATGTTGTTGCCGGTCAGGTTTTCGCTCACTTACGCGCGCGTCCGTAAATTTATCTATTTTTTTTTTTCTACACTCGCTAAATAATACAACTATACACGTACATATATTATAATGTATATGAGTGACGATTAATATACAAATTAGACGACGTTCGCGTGTCTGCCGGTTTGAATATTTACCCGCGGTTTATGAAATGATATTATTATACATTTTATCCCGTTCGAATATATTATTTGTACAATAATTGCGTACGGTCGGGATGACGACGAGAAGAAGACCGCGACCGCAATAATTATTATAAATTAGCGATTCGAATAGTATTTCGTTCCGACGTGCGACGAGCGCATTACAATGCAAATGCGACGGTGGTTTTTTTTTTTAATTTATTTAAATTTTTTTTTAATTTTCCATCGTTGAATTGGATACGCGGCCATCTTCCGAAAGCAGCATAAACGCGCAATAATATAATAATATGGGTCGTCGGATTTTCTCGGCTCAAAACCGTATATTAATATATAGCCAAACGTCGATTTGGCCGTTGAGTCGTCGTAAACATAGAGGCAAGTCGTGTTTTTTCCTCGCAAGAGGCGGGAAACGATGACCGCAGAGACCGTAAATGTACGCATTCGAATTATAATTACATTATTATTGAAAACGACGCAGGCAGCGTAGTATAAAATGATCGTATTCAACTTAAGTTATGTTTGACAACCGGGTGCGACGCGCAATAAAAAACGTCCAGGTACAATCGACATACGATTATATCGCAAATCTAAAAAAAAAAATCATCGACAGTTTTAAAGAGGCTATAAATATCTCGAAAATGGCACAAATGTATTGAAAATTACAAAAATACTAGAAAAGACTGAAATAAGAATCCGGTAAAAGTTTCAGGTTTCTACAA